TGGAGAACCGGTTGCAGAAATTTTGAGTAGTTCAGAGAACCGGCAAATACCTCCTCTGGCCGGCCCCAGAGTCGGGTGGGAATGGAGATTTTTTAATATCCTTCCCCCAGAAGCGGGGTGGGAATGAGGATTTTGCAGTATCCTTCCCCTGCCATGCCCACAGAATCCAGCTTGTATTTTCTGGATGTGTTCAGCTGCCATGAAAGATTTAATTTGTATTGCTGAACTGGACCAAGTGGCTTAAATAGCACCTTATAGGATTTTGTGACCTTTGGTCTAAGTGCTGGGATCATCTTAGTTTCTTGGGAATCGTAGAAAGGCTGCCTTTAACCAAATGTTGTATACCAGAAGGACTATTCAAACTGTATGCTCTGTGATAAGGACCATGTGCCAGTAAGGAGAATGGTCCCTGCTCTATAAACAAAAGTATCTGGAATAAAACTTAGGAAGTTAATTGTGGCTTGACCTAGAGTTTCTTGCTCTCGAATTGCTCATGTGAATTCCAGCAGATATCTGTCAGAAAGAACATTCAACTCAGCCATCATGATTGATGGCCACATTTACAGCATACTAAGAAACAAAACTTTCTTTTCCTAATTGCTAGTCTTAATTTTTAATTGCTGCTGCTATTTTAGATGTTATATCTACATATATAAATCACTGTCAATGTTTGCTCTTTAAAATTTGCATTATATAATGAATTTTCTTCAGACTGCTGCCCCTCCAGATGACTCTAGCTGCAACTTCCATAAGTTTCAGACAACAGAGGTAACAGCTGCCAGTAGAATTAGGTGTGTTGTACTTCAACATATCTGGAGGACTTGAGAAAACTGGGCCTAGATCTAGAATCAACCTGGTGCCAGGTCAATCTTTTGCTATGCTGATCTTTCTATTCATATTTGAGATATTTATGAATTAATGATTCTCAGTCTTTTATTGGAGAATCAGATTTTTATTTGATTACATCTTTATTTATATTCCAATGTTTTAGTAGTTTACAACATTTAAAATTATTGGAAACTATATAATAACTGTGATCAGGAATATGGGATCAGAAATTAAATCCAAATTATATAAACATGATATACTATACCCAACGAAAACCTGATAGAATGAAACATTCGGTAGTATCTTAAGAAAAATGAGGGAGGGGCAAATGGAGCATCATAACTAAGCATGTTCTGCATCTGGCTTCAACTACAGGTAGTCCTTGACTTACAACAGTTCATTTAGTGACTGTTCAAACTTACCACAGCACTTTAAAAAGCGATTGATGACCATTTTTAACATTTATGATCATTGCAGCATCCCCATGGTCAAGTGATCAAAATTCAGATACTTGGCAACTGACTCATATTGATGACAGCTTGGGTCATGTGATCAGCTTTTTCGACCTTCTGACAAGCAAAGGCAATGGAGGAAGTAAGATTCACTCAACAGCCATGTCGCTAACATAAGAAATGAAATGATTCATTTAACAATTGTGGCAA